ATAAAATACTATTACAGGGATAAAATACTATTACAGGGATATAATACTATTACAGGGATAAAAGATTCAAGCAGATGATAACCTTTTTTTAATTCAATGAATCTTTTTACAACAGACACACTTGAAGTTCTCAAACTACGTCATCAGTATGCATTCCACTTTGCTTGATATCGAAATCTGAACTCCCTGCTACTCATTCCAGGGAGAAGCTGGTACAAGAAGAATGTCATTCAAAACTGCACGACCAAAGAAGTTCAGTTATATTACTAACATTAGGAAGAGGCAAAATGCCTCTGACTATTATGTCACTTGCCTCCTTAATATATTTAATTGCTTCTAAATGGCTAGCAACATTATTTTTGTACCCACCATCAATGGAGGTGGCAATACTAGAAGGGTCCATCTTCTAAAGTTTCTTGACAAAACATGCATTTAAGTAAAGCACTTTTAAAAAAAATTGTGCTAACTTCTAAGAATTTATTTGTCGCGCCTATTTAACAAAAGTTACAGCCATACATACATACATACACCCATACATTCATACCGGCATACATACATACCGCCATACATGCATACAGCCATACATACACACAGCCATACATACACCCATAGAGCATTATTACTTGTGATCTTGGATATTAGCAATGTTAACACATAATATAAATTTTTGAAAATCAGAAATTTAAAAGATTATTTCATTGATTAAATTCGATCTTACATAATGGTGACTAATCTACACAACTCCGGTCACTTGAACACAGAAGAAATTGTTTCCTCGACCAAAGTCCAAGCAGTTTCAAGTGTTCATGATGCCTGCTTCCTGAGTGATAAAGCCTAATCTAGTAGTAATTTACACATCACATCGTTGTCTTTGCCCTTATTCTTTGTTCTTTATATTTTGTTGGCTGTTGATTTTTTTTCTTTTGTTTCCATAACGTCTGGCTTGAGTTTGATATGGAGTCACGTACTACGAGGTAATATACATTTTTTGTGTTATAACCGACAGCAAGCGGATCAAAGTATAAGAGGCCTAGAACTAGTGCATGTATTTGTTGTGTGAATGTTAGAACTAAAATATAACTTAATATGGTTTCTCACATACGCACATTTTATTGTATTCAATATATTTTATAAGATACACTTTGAAAAAAAAAAAAAAAAAAAAGAAACCAAATTAATTTAAGTAGATTGTATATAAATGTTAAATATAAAGCTACTCGTTAAATAAATATTAAATTTTTTGCGCTGAATTAACATTGATTAAAAAAAATAGTTAATGTATTAATTTTTCATTTTCTTAACATATTTAGTATTTCCAGAACGCATCCTTAGTTATGTTTCCTTGAATCAACAAGCCCAGAGTGCAGTTGATCCTTTCAGCTAGGTCACCATTACACAGTTGAAATATGAGATCTAATTTAAAAAGCCCCTGAAGTGATAAGGGGAGTAATGAGTGCGGTGTTCTCATATATCATCTATCAATTTATGTGTACATTTGTTGTTTCTTTTGAAAGTGTTATTTTAAAATTAAATATGCGTACCAATGGTAGGTGGACATCAGAAAATAAGGTTGGTAAGCATCGCCCACTTCACTGAATGGCACACCCCAACCTTTTCACTGAATAGCACATTTAACACTTTTCACTGAATAGCACATCTAATACTTTTCACTGAATGGCACATCTAATACTTTTCACTGAATAGCACATCTAACACTTTTCACTGAATAGCACATCTAATACTTTTCACTGAATAGCACATTTAACACTTTTCACTGAATAGCACATCTAATACTTTTCACTGAATAGCACATCTAATACTTTTCACTGAATGGCACATCTAATACTTTTCACTGAATAGCACATCTAACACTTTTCACTGAATAGCACATCTAATACTTTTCACTGAATAGCACATTTAACACTTTTCACTGAATAGCACATCTAATACTTTTCACTGAATAGCACATCTAATACTTTTCACTGAATAGCACATCTAATACTTTTCACTGAATGGCACATCTAATACTTTTCACTGAATAGCACATCTAATACTTCGCACTGAATAGCACATCTAATACTTTTCACGGAATAGCACATCTAATACTTTTCACTGAATAGCACATCTAATACTTTTCACTGAATAGCACATCTAATACTTTTCACTAAATTATGGCACACCTTGTGCTCTTCACTTAATGGCATATCTAATACTTTTCACTTAATAACACACCTTGTTCTCTTCACTGACTGGCACATCTAACACTCTTCACTGAATGGCACATCTAACACTCTTCACTTAATGGCACATCTAACACTCTTCACTTAATAACACACTTTGTTTTCTTCACCAAATGGCACATCTAACACTCTTCCCTTAATGGCACATCTAATACTTTTCACTTAATAACACACTTTGTTCTCTTCACTGAATGGCACATCTAACACTCTTCACTTAATGGCCAAGCTAATACTTTTCACTTAATAACACACCTTGTTCTTTTCACAAAATGACACATCAAACACTCTTTACTGAATGGCACACCTTGTCCTCTTCACTTACTGGCACATCTAACACTCTTCACTTATTTGCACATCTAACACTCTTCACTGAATGGCACATCTAACACTTTTCACTTAATAACACACTTTGTTCTCTTCACTGAATGACACATCAAACACTCTTCACTGAATGGCACACCTTGTCCTCTTTGTCGAGGGTATGAGAATCACTGTTGTTATGTGTGGAGCGTTGTTGTCATGTTTGATAAGGAAAAGATGTTAGAGATTTTATGTGCAGCCGTATCGTTTGTGTGAGAGTGTTGTGACGTAATTGTGTAGTGGGAAGTGACGCGTTAGTTTTAGTGTGGTTGATAGAGAAGATAGATGGCGGTTGTTGTGAGAGAATTGATGGCGGATATACTGGATGAAGTGTTTGGATTGGTATATTGATTAATATTTGGTTTGAGTGATTGTATTATCAAATTCTGAAATTTTACATCAAGTCTTGTTCATCGAGTAGTGTTAAATAAACAACTATCAAGTTACAAACCTGTTAACGTTGGTTGTATTAGTAACTGTTGCTATCAGCTATATTGTAGACTAGTAGACACTCATTGCCATGAGTGAATAACTACAACACAACGGATACAACATCGTGACACTCTTCACTTACTGGCACATCTAACCCTCTTCACTTAATTGCACATCTAACACTCCTCACTGACTGGCACATCTAACACTTTTCACTTAATAACACACCTTGTTCTCTTCACTGACTGGCACATCTAACACTTTTCACTTAATAATACACCTTGTTCTCTTCACTGACTGGCATATCTAACACTCTTCACGGAATGGCACACATGTTGTCCTCTTCACTAACAAGCACATCCCACCCTCTTCACTGAATGGAATCCTCCGCCTACTTCACTGAATGGCAAACCCCGCTGTCTGTACTTAATGACACCACGCCTTCTTCACTGAATGGGCCCCCCACCCTCTTCACTGGTCGGCACACCTTGTTCTTTTCACTGACAGGCCCACCCCGCCCTCTTCACTTAATGGACCCACGCCCTCTTTACTAAATAGCACACCCCCCGCCTACTTCACTGAAATGACCCCTCGCCCTCTTCACTGAATGGCACATCACACACTCTTCACTGAATGACCTTTCCCACACTCATAACTGAATGGCTTATCCCACACTCATAACTGAATGGCTTATCCCACACTCATAACTGAATGGCTTATCCCACACTCATAACTGAATGGCTTATCACACACTCATAACTGAATGGCTTATCCCACACTCATAACTGAATGGCTTATCCCACACTCTTCACTCAATGGCTTATCCCACAATCTTTACTCAATGACACATCTCACACTCTTCACTCAATGACAATCTCACACTCTTCACTGAATGGCACATCAAACACTTTACACTGAATGGTACACCTTGTTCTTGTAATTATTTGGCACATCCTACGGTCTACACTGAATCGCACAACCCGCCTACTTTACTGAATGGCACAATCTGCCCTCTTCACTAAATGCAAATACCAAACTCTTAACTGACTGGCACATCTAACACCCTTTACTGAATGGCTCACGTCGTTCTTCCACTGAATGGCACATTCACACTCATCCCATTTATTGCCCTATGGAAACCAAGCGAAACAAGCATCAGGAAAACATAATTTTTTTAGGTAAATGAGAATTATACATGAGTAAACGAAAAGAGCGACTGATGTTTTAAAAAGTGCTGTCTTGTGGGCTGAGCTCGTGTCTAGTGGTAAAGATGCTATTTTTCAAACTCGTGTAATCGCCTTAAAACTATGAAGCTTGGCATGTCAATTTATCAACCTCTGGATGTTGTAAGGTAAATATAAGTACGTCATTTTTACATTTCGTATTCTAATCTCTGACAGCCCTTAAAAAAATTTAATGTTTTTTCTTTTTTAGAACATCATGATGTCAGCTCAGAATATACGGACGCTCTTGGTCTTAATGGTTGGTTCTTCACTTATTTTGTTAGCGTTCTGTAAATCCTGTAAGACAGTAGACCTTCGTGGCAGGGGAGCACAAGGGCCATCTGTTGCAAGAGTTTTGTCAACACGGTTCGCACGAGAAATTGAGCACAAAGAAGCTGATTTAAAATATGCATTTCATAATGATAACATTCACCTCAAAGACTCAGCCTGTGCAAGAAATCTAATAGACAGGTTATTTGCTAATCACTATCCCAACAATAAATTTAAGTGCTTTCCCTGTCTCTGTAAGAACATCAGTTACGAAATGTTCAGTGCAACATGTGAAGATCTAACGCTGTCTGTTATTCCGCAAACATTGCCTGGTGAAGTTGCTGTTTTGAGCATTATCAATTTGGAATTGATGCAATTTAGTACCGAAAGTTTAGAAAACTATACTTCTTTAACTCAGGTGGCGGTAGTGTGTAATTCTAATTTATTGAGGGTCAAAAACGGCTCGCGTCTCAACATTCCGCTTTCAACCATCGATTTAGACCTTTCTGAAAACTCAATAACTTCTGTGGATGATAACAGTTTTATCGATATGCCAAAGCTTCTCAGTCTTTCTCTGAGTTGTAACGCTCTGACCAATGTGAACGGCCAGATGTTTACTGGTCTCACCAAACTGCGTTTATTAAATTTGTCATTGAATGACATCAGTTTTGTTCCCAGTACTACGTTTGATGACATGGTTGATCTACTAATCCTAGACATCAGCAACAACCCCAATTTTTTAAACAATAATGCCACCATAGACCCTCGTACTTTCAAGAGTCTCAACAATTTGCAGGAGATCTACATCCATGGTATATGCAATCCATATCTACCCGACTGCCCTTATCCAACTGAAGCTCTACGGATGTTAACTAGCCTAAGAGTTCTTGGCATAAGCGCCCAAGAAGAGAAAAATATAGGCCCAGACGTGTCGAATCTCTTACACTTACAGACTCTCATTATTAGTGGATTTTGCAACAAAAAACTTATCAGTGAAACGTTTTTTAACAATGTCCCGTACATTGTTTCTCTAAAAATAGTGGACTGCCAAATAGTATTTGTTCATCCAAATGCTTTTTCAGCTCTCAAATCTCTAGAAAATTTAACTCTCAACAATCTTCAACCTTACTACACCATCTTTCAACTATTATTAGACTTAAAATGTTTAAGAAATTCATCACTGCAATATCTTTCAATGATCAACATTAATGCGTTAACGACCACTGTTACACTGAACCAGACGCACGCAGCACACTTGCGATATATCAACTTGATTCAGCTGGACATGTCTTACAATAAAATTGACCTTTTAACTCCAGAGTTTGTAAGTCTCTTACCACGAAGTTTAAAAAAGATCGACCTAAGTGGTAATAATTTTTCTCCTGACCTACTCTTTTGTTCACTTAACTTTCCCAAAGGACTTGTAGAGATGAATCTTAATGATCAAGCATGCAATTCAATAGTTCCTTGCCATTTACCTGCAAATAACCCCATTCATGCACACTTTGAGTCCATGGATCAAATAAGTAAAAGACAAATGTATGTGAGGCTTAATCAAAAGCCATCCGTTTTATTGGAAACTGGTTTGGCATTCAAAAATAGAACACATTCTTTTCAGTCTTCTCCAAACCAATCTTTAGGCTTCTCTCTACCACCAAATTTAAAAATACTTAAGGGTAATAGTTTTAATGATTTTGGAAATTCCATTTTTTTTATTATTGAAAATACACTATTGGAACTAAGCCTCTCTGGAAGCTTTTTACAGTTTTGGGGTATGTTTTTATTACCCAAGGGTATAAAGAAAGCAGATTTCAGTAATAATTACTGCGAAGTATTTAAGGCGCATTTCTTCTCGGACGGAACTTCATTAGAATATCTAACTGTTGCAGATAATCTACTGGGATCTGCTTTTGCGGCAGATGTTGAAGGAAAACTTTTTGCTAAAGCACAGAGACTAAAATATCTTGACGTTTCTAGGAATAGAATTCACGAGCTCAATTACGACGTGTTTAAGGAACTTGTACATCTTCAAATCTTAAACATTTCCGAGAATAGCATTCAAATCTTTAATGTCAGTTTTCAGCACATGACACAGCTGAGCGTCATAGACGTAAGCAGAAATTCCATTTCTTGGCTAAGTAAGAATACCCGAGATGAATTAGATGACATTGCAACACAACACATGCTTTACCTTGATTTAACTTCTAATCCCCTACCGTGTACTTGTGAAGGGCTCGAAATATTACAGTGGCTGTCTAGCACTAACGTTTATCTCTTAAACTCAGACTTTCTTGAGTGTAGAAATGAAGAAAATCAACTGCAAGAGATTGGCGACGTGAGACGCCGTGTGGTGGAGTTAAAGAGAAAATGTGCTTCCAAGTCAGTCATCATTCTAACTTGTATATTTTCAATAATTGTCTTCATTGTGATATTAGCAGCATCGTTGATATATCGATACCGATGGAAGTTAAGGTACTTTTGGAGTATCGCCTTGGTCAAAGTAATCGGTATCAAGCCAAAAACTAACGGAGACGGCTTTCGGTTTGATGCATATCTGCTTTACACAGACGAGACCCGTGATTTTGTAATACGCGACTGCGTCCGTGAGCTAGAAGAGAAGAGGGGTCACCGATTGTGTATTGAAGACAGAGATTTCCTGCCTGGGACGTACATAATTTCTAACATTGTCAGTGGTGTGCAGAACAGCACCAAGACCGTACCCGTCCTGACCGCAGAGTTTTACCAAGGTGAGTATGCTGAGTACGGAGTAAAGATGGCGCTCATGGAAGAAATTTTCGCCCACCGTTCAGTTATTTATCTGTGCATATACAAGCCAATGGACGATGAGCATATATCACGTGACCTCCTAATGGCCTTGAAAAATAACCGCTACATTGAATATCCACCGTTGGAGGAAGCTACAGAGGAGATAAAAATTGAGTTTTGGAATCAGTTTTCCCGTGTGATAGGTAATGATAATAACCAACATTAATAAATAATGAACTGTGTGTGTCTTGAAACAATCATTCATTCATCAGTCATAATACAAAAACATTGAGTCATACATAAAAAACAATAATTGTATAGGTCATAAAACAACAATCTTTAATTCATACGTCAAAATACAAAATCATTGATACATATATCGTAATACAAAAATAATTAATTCATACGTCATAAAACAAAATCATTGATTCATACGTCATGTTACAAAAATCATTGATTCATACGTCATAAAACAACAATCTTTAATTCACACGTCATAATACGAAAATCATTGATTCATACGTCATAAAACAAAATCATTGATTCATACGTCATAATACGAAAATCATTGATTCATACGTCATAAAACAAAATCATTGATTCATACGTCATGTTACAAAAATCATTGATTCATACGTCATAAAACAACAATCTTTAATTCATACGTCATAAAACGAAAATCATTGATTCATACGTCATAAAACTACAATCATTTTTTATAGGTCATAAAACAACAATCATTATTTTATAGGTCATAAAACAACAATCATTGATTCTTGTATTGACTAACAACAATTACTATAAATATTAAACGTAGATTACTTTACAAATGTAATGTATACAGTGTGTTTAGGAAACTATACAAATAGAAATTACAAGGTAAATTAAATTAACATACTGTACACATGTAACTCAATAAGTATATATTACATGCTTAGAAATAGGAGTCAATAAAGCTGACAACAATATGATGACTATAATATGATGACAACAATATGATTACAATCGAATGACAACAACGTGATGACAAAAATAGGATGACAATAATACAATGACAATAATATGATGACAGCAACATGATGACAACAATACAATGATAACAATATATTGACAACACCAAGATGACAACAATATAACGACAACAATATATTGAAACAACATGATGATAACACTATAAAGACAACACTATAAAAACAATAAATTTATAACAATATGGTTGATTATGTTCTAGTATTTTTTTTTAAATTTGAATGCCTTTGGTGAACTGTCCTTTGGTGTTATTTTATTTTGTACATCTGTAAGCTGTCATTCAACTTAGGCACTAGCGTAGTTAGAAGGACTATAGAACATGGTTCAATCTGTAATCAGTAATTATAGGCACTAGCGTAGTTAGAAGGACTATAGAACATGGTTCAATCTGTAATCAGTCATTATAGGCACTAGCGAAGTTAGAAGGACTATAGAACATGGTTCAATCTGTAATCAGTCATTATAGGCACTAGCGTAGTTAGAAGGACTATAGAACATGGTACAATCTGTAATCAGTCATTATAGGCACTAGCGTAGTTAGAAGGACTATAGAACATGGTTCAATCTGTAATCAGTCATTTAAGGCACTAGCGTAGTTAGAAGGACTATAGAACATGGTTCAATCTGTAATCAGTCATTATAGGCACTAGCGAAGTTAGAAGGACTATAGAACATGGTTCAATCTGTAATCAGTCATTATAGGCACTAGCGTAGTTAGAAGGACTATAGAACATGGTACAATCTGTAATCAGTCATTATAGGCACTAGCGTAGTTAGAAGGACTATAGAACATGGTTCAATCTGTAATCAGTCATTTAAGGCACTAGCGTAGTTAGAAGGACTATAGAACATGGTTCAATCTGTAATCAGTCATTAATCAGTCATTATAGGCACTAGCGTAGTTAGAAGGACTATAGAACATGGTTCAATCTGTAATCAGTCATTTAAGGCACTAGCGTAGTTAGAAGGACTATAGAACATGGTTCAATCTGTAATCAGTCATTTAAGGCACTAGCGTAGTTAGAAGGACTATAGAACATGGTTCAATCTGTAATCAGTCATTTAAGGCACTAGCGTAGTTAGAAGGACTATAGAACATGGTTCAATCTGTAATCAGTCATTTAAGGCACTAGCGTAGTTAGAAGGACTATAGAACATGGTTCAATCTGTAATCAGTCATTATAGGCACTAGCGTAGTTAGAAGGACTATAGAACATGGTTCAATCTGTAATTAGTCATTTAAGGCACTAGCGTAGTTAGAAGGACTATAGAACATGGTTCAATCTGTAATCAGTCATTTAAGGCACTAGCGTAGTTAGAAGGACTATAGAACAGGGTTCAATCTGTAATCAGTCATTTATTAAGGCACTAGCGTAGTTAGAAGGTATATAGAACATGGTTCAATCTGTAATTAGTCCTTTAAGGCTCTAGCGTAGTTAGAAGGACTATAGAACATGGTTCAATCTGTAATCAGTCATTTAAGGCACTAGCGTAGTTAGAAGGACTATAGAACAGGGTTCAATCTGTAATCAGTCATTTATTAAGGCACTAGCGTAGTTAGAAGGACTATAGAACAGGGTTCAATCTGTAATCATTCATTTAAGGCACTAGCGTAGTTAGAAGGACTGCAGAACATGGTTCAATCTGTAATCAGTCCTCTAAGGCACTAGCGTAGTTAGAAGGACTATAGAACATGGTTCAATCTGTAATCAGTCATTTAAGGCACTAGCGTAGTTAGAAGGAATATAGAACAGGGTTCAATCTGTAATCAGTCATTTAAGGCACTAGCGTAGTTAGAAGGACTATAGAACAGGGTTCAATCTGTAATCAGTCATTTAAGGCACTAGCGTAGTTAGAAGGACTATAGAACATGGTACAATCTGTAATCAGTCATTATAGGCACTTGCGTAGTTAGAAGGACTATAGAACAGGGTTCAATCTGTAATCAGTCATTTATTAAGGCACTAGCGTAGTTAGAAGGACTATAGAGCGTGGTTCAATCTGTAATCAGTCATTATAGGCACTAGCGTAGTTAGAAGGACTATAGAACATGGTTCAATCTGTAATCAGTCATTTAAGGCACTAGCGTAGTTAGAAGGACTATAGAACATGGTTCAATCTGTAATCAGTCATTATAGGCACTAGCGTAGTTAGAAGGACTATAGAACAGGGTTCAATCTGTAATCAGTCATTTATTAAGGCACTAGCGTAGTTAGAAGGACTATAGAGCGTGGTTCAATCTGTAATCAGTCATTATAGGCACTAGCGTAGTTAGAAGGACTACAGAACATGGTTCAATCTGTAATCAGTCCTCTAAGGCACTAGCGTAGTTAGAAGGACTATAGAACATGGTTCAATCTGTAATCAATCATTATAGGCACTAGCGTAGTTAGAAGGACTATAGAACATGGTACAATCTGTAATCAGTCATTATAGGCACTAGCGTAGTTAGAAGGACTATAGAACATGGTACAATCTGTAATCAATCATTATAGGCACTAGCGTAGTTAGAAGGACTATAGAACATGGTACAATCTGTAATCAGTCATTATAGGCACTAGCGTAGTTAGAAGGACTATAGAACAAGGTTCAATCTGTAATCAGTCATTATAGGCACTAGCGTAGTTAGAAGGACTATAGAACATGGTTCAATCTGTAATCAGTCATTATAGGCACTAGCGTAGTTAGAAGGACTATAGAGCATGGTTCAATCTGTAATCAGTCATTATAGGCACTAGCGTAGTTAGAAGGACTATAGAACATGGTTCAATCTGTAATCAGTCATTATAGGCACTAGCGTAGTTAGAAGGACTATAGAACATGGTTCAATCTGTAATCAGTCATTATAGGCACTAGCGTAGTTAGAAGGACTATAGAACATGGTTCAATCTGTAATCAGTCATTATAGGCACTAGCGTAGTTAGAAGGACTATAGAACATGGTTCAATCTGTAATCAGTCATTATAGGCACTAGCGTAGTTAGAAGGACTATAGAACATGGTACAATCTGTAATCAGTCATTATAGGCACTAGCGTAGTTAGAAGGACTATAGAACATGGTTCAATCTGTAATCAGTCATTATAGGCACTAGCGTAGTTAGAAGGACTATAGAACATGGTTCAATCTGTAATCAGTCATTATAGGCACTAGCGTAGTTAGAAGGACTATAGAACAGGGTTCAATCTGTAATCAGTCATTTAAGGCACTAGCGTAGTTAGAAGGACTATAGAACAGGGTTCAATCTGTAATCAGTCATTTATTAAGGCACTAGCGTATTTAGAAGGACTATAGAACATGGTTCAATCTGTAATTAGTCCTTTAAGGCACTAGCGTAGTTAGAAGGACTATAGAACATGGTTCAATCTGTAATTAGTCCTTTAAGGCACTAGCGTAGTTAGAAGGACTATAGAACAGGGTTCAATCTGTAATCAGTCATTTAAGGCACTAGCGTAGTTAGAAGGACTATAGAACAGGGTTCAATCTGTAATCAGTCATTTATTAAGGCACTAGCGTAGTTAGAAGGACTATAGAACAGGGTTCAATCTGTAATCAGTCATTATAGGCACTAGCGTAGTTAGAAGGACTATAGAACATGGTTCAATCTGTAATCAGTCATTATAGGCACTAGCGTAGTTAGAAGGACTATAGAACATGGTTCAATCTGTAATCAGTCATTATAGGCACTAGCGTAGTTAGAAGGACTATAGAACATGGTTCAATCTGTAATCAGTCATTATAGGCACTAGCGTAGTTAGAAGGACTATAGAACATGGTTCAATCTGTAATCAGTCATTATAGGCACTAGCGTAGTTAGAAGGACTATAGAACATGGTTCAATCTGTAATCAGTCATTATAGGCACTAGCGTAGTTAGAAGGACTATAGAACATGGTTCAATCTGTAATCAGTCATTATAGGCACTAGCGTAGTTAGAAGGACTATAGAACATGGTTCAATCTGTAATCAGTCATTATAGGCACTAGCGTAGTTAGAAGGACTATAGAACATGGTTCAATCTGTAATCAGTCATTATAGGCACTAGCGTAGTTAGAAGGACTATAGAACATGGTTCAATCTGTAATCAGTCATTATAGGCACTAGCGTAGTTAGAAGGACTATAGAACATGGTTCAATCTGTAATCAGTCATTATAGGCACTAGCGTAGTTAGAAGGACTATAGAACATGGTTCAATCTGT